TGGAGAGCAAATGTTTTGAGAATGATGAGGGCAATGAAAGTACAAATGTGCTTTACACAATTGATGTATGTATGGATTGTGATGAGTTGTATGAGCCCCTAATAAAAATATTTTAAAAAAATTGAGACTAATGATGAATTCCCAGCAAATTCCTTATTAAACAACACAAATGGAAACTATACATATGGATCTTTCTGAATGGAACAAACGAAAATCAAATCAACCACATCTATAGAAAGAAATGGTGGAGAAGCTCATTAGTCAAAACAAGGCCAGGGGTTACATGTGGAATAGATCATCAATCACTCAAATCCAAGTAGAAACTAACAAAAGTAGGTAGGTCACAGAGCTTAGAGACTATGTAAAGAATAAACTTGAGGAATAAAAGACTGATGACTGAAGACTAATGACTGAGATCTGATGAGCAGATGGAAGACTAATGACTGAGACCAGATGACACCAAGGACGTCATCATACATATGGAAACCACAAGGCTATTCAAAAGACAGAAAACAAGAGAGAGTGCGATACTGAATCTACTATGCATTGTTTGAATAACAAGAAAAAACCTGTTGGAACATGCAGCCAAAATGTTCTATAGAAGCAGCAAAGGTCATCTTTCGGGTTTTTGCCCTGTTAAGAAGGGTAGGCCTACAGAAGGCACACTGCATAGTAAAGAATATATAGCAGACATGTGTTTAATAAAAACCCCAAGAATGCAGGATGTTAAAAATGTCCTTTCCACTAACAAAATTATTGGAGGAACAGAATTTTTTTAAAAATCTTACAAGTAGAAAAGAATTGGAGGTACAGTGCTATAGTATATCCTAAGCTGATAACAATTTTCTTGCTAAAAAGATTATTTTAGAGACCTGAAAATAACAGAAGTCATATATGTAAAAGGAGTAAATATGGAGAAACCAAAAAGAGTAAAATATGTCTTAAAGAATTCCATCAAAAAATAAATAAAAAGAATTCCATCAGAGAAGGCAATTTGACCATCTGTTAGAAAACAGACAGAACTAATTTCATCAGAATGAAGAAAACTTTAAAGAGACAGGAGAAGAAATGAGAAAATGGGCATCAAAACCTTTAGAGAAACTCCAAAGGGGGAAGCTAAGGAAGCACAAAGGAGACCCATTTATGGTAGGAGTTCAAGATCCAAGATGGTGTTGCATACTACAAAGGGCAATCCATTCTTACTCAGTAGGGAAGGAATGTGCTGTATTCAGAGGACAGTTACCAATTCAGAGTTCTCTGTTTGGAGAGAGGCTTGCAAGATGGATTTTCATAGTAAGGTAGAAGCATATAAAAGAGGGAAAGTTTGAGACTCTTAAAGACAGAAAATTATGGAAGCAAACATACAGTAGTATAAATCAAATAAATGAAATTTAATCCCATAAGAGCTACAGGAGTACTTCTGTCAACTTCTAGAGAAAAGTGAGCTCTCACATTCGAAGAAGCACACACTTTTATGCATTTTCTGACACCTACCATGGATGTGAGGCCTTCTACTACTTGAATCAACTCCCCCATTCAATTCCCCTTAAGGTATTTTGACCATGCACCTGAAAAAATCCCACTACAGCTTGTTTCTAATACTGACCACAGTTCTCCTTGTTATAAATGAGAGAAAGCTTCTGGGGTGACAACTAGATAACCTGTTTATAGCAAATTACAGAATCTTAGACACACCAAAATTAACCTAAAGTTTGTAAAGCCTAAAGAATGTACTATTTCTAGAAAAATCATGTTCAAAGGAACAAAGTAAAGGGTGTTCTCTCAAGGATAGAAGACCTTACCCACTAACTTAGGACCAGAGAATGCAATGAGAATCTACCTCTGTGAGAACACCGCAGACACTGCAAGGATTTCAACACTTAAGACAGGAAAAGTCAATGGAATGGCCAATGACGAGAATTGTCCTTACCAATGGAAACTAGGTTGCGATAGTTCTCCAACATCACATCCTGATATAGGGTCTTCTGATCAGGGTTCAGGAGCTGCCATTCCTCCCAGGTGAACTTTACAGCCACATCGTTGAATGTCAGTGATTCCTGTGTAAGAGGAGTCTATTTAATTACATATTATCCATTGGAAGATTTTTTAAAAATATCTTACAGTAAACAAAGCAAAACAGTAATAAAAACTATGTGGTAGTGTATTCCATAATGTGTGGTACACTGAGGACTTGGTAGAAAGTATTTGACTTTATTTCTACATTCACAATTATGGGGAGGGAAAACTAGCCCTATTTTCAGAAAGATCTCCATTGTCCTGAGAAAGAAATGTTTTCAAATATACATTCTCCAGGCCAAATAATGAGCCCCCCAAAATAGCTCTTCATTAAGGAGCAGTCTTAAAGGAGCTACCATAGTAGATGAATCATTTCTGTGCCTGACTACTTCACTATGCCTGATGATTATCTGTAGATCAGAGCAATCAGGTTCTGCAGCCAACCCACCATAAATGTAGCAAATGCCTGGGGAGGGCTCATGATGGGTTTGAAGTCAACTAGCACTAGGTCAAGTTGGTGAGTCACAATCTTGCTTATTTATTATGTTACCCGCTTATGATATTATTACCCATTGACTAATTGCATGACGTGCACACCTTATGGAAATATCTGTAAGCGCCATTATATACACCTATTGGAAAATACATTCACTTTCTCAGTCCTGACATGGGATGAGGAGATCCTGTGCCCTCACTGTCTGTCTGTCTGTCTTTAATATTTGCCACAATTGCAATGTCACTCCTGAGCATCACCATGTTGGGGATCCCTATGCCCCAAAATAATGCACCGACTCATAAAATTAGAATTTTGAGTACCAGTGAAATTATCTGAATGTGCTAGAAATAGCTCAGATTTATATTCACACAAAGTAGATAGAAATCGCTCAGATTTATATTCACACAAAGTAGATTTATATTCACACACACTTGTTTATATTAACAAACAAGTTACAGTACACTGTGAAATGGAATGAGGAGTTCTAGCAGTATTACCACTATAAGAGGCTCTGTACCTTCAGTGGCAACAGGTATCAGGAACAGTTCAGATGGGGGAGGTCAAACACACCTCAGCTCTCCAACATTTTTTGCCAATTCTTACCCAAGTCATTCCTCCCACCCCACTCTTTGTCTCACTTCTGGGTTTGAAAATCTGTTGCTATGGCCACACAAAACTCAATAGATCAAAGTGGTCTATTAATGAACCAAGTACAACTAGGGATCAGGAACAAGAAGCTATATCTCAGAAGCAAGATCAGAATGTTCATAGGCAATATCTCCCTTCCTGAATGCAGAACAACCTTCTAAGCTCTTAAAGGCCACCTTAGGACCAGCTCCTCTTGACAACCTTAGGATATATTCTTCTCAGCCACCTTCAGACAGTATTGCCTTAACTTTAATTGCAAGGTCCTCTTGGACTTGCCATCTTTCATCACATGCTCTCCAAGGCCCTCTTGAAGTCCCTCTTGCCATTGGCTCAATGTCTGGAGGCCTCCTAATCTTGCCTAGGCAGGGAAGGTGCTAGGTTGGGCCAAGAAGCCATCATATCAAGAGGGAGAGAGAACTGCCTGCAGGCATGGTGTGAGAAGAGACAGTGAGACATTGGCCTGTCATCTGACCTGTTGATTTGGTTTTGTTAGCCCCTGCAGCCAGAGTTCAGAATAAACCCATGGATTAGGGATTTGCCAGCTTCCAGAAATTCTTGAGCTATTTCTTTGAATGGCAAGTGCGAGTCGCCTGTGTGACCTGATTTGAGAGCTTCCTCCACTCCATGAGCCAACAGCCTGCTGCCTGACATTCCCATTTGGATTCCCCAGCCGGTGCAACCTATTATCTGACCAGATTCAACAACTTCACTTTGTGAGGCAGTGGACTGTTGTCTGACCTGATGATGTGGCTCATCAGCCTTGGCAAACACATCAATGAGGAGAACCCTACAAACTGATATCTGATCTGTATATAAATTTGGGACTCACCAGCTTCCACATCTTGTAGAGGGGTTTATTTACTTGATGGCTATTTAGTTTTGTGAGATGTTGCTGAGCAAATCATGGAAAATCTTGAACCTCTACCTCATAAGGACTGGTCTACTGCTGCTCCTGCAAAATGAACTGTACTATTCATGGGTCAAGAACTGTACCAATGGAGATAATGACCAGGGCAGATGGGACACAGTGACAGAGCCAATGGGCTTTCAGTCCGGAAAGGGCTTTTCAGCCAAGATAGTAGGACAGGCAGCCAAGATCAAGAGAAGAATGTATCCAAGGAGCTAAGAGGAGTCTACACAGATGTAACTCTGAAATGAGTCTACCTTCAACAGGCAAAATGTCTGAGAGGGACAGAGAGAATAAGCCTGCCCTGAAGAAGAGCAAATTTGCCTACATGTTTCTTTAATATGAATGCCTATTGATTCTGATACCAAATTACATTGTTACCGAATAAAACTTGTACCTGTGACTCTGGACTGTAATTAGTCCATGGCCACTGCAAAAAATTAATGAGCTGAGTAGGAGAGGGATGTGGCAAAGATACTGGTGTCATAACTGGAAAACCATTGGAGGGTACAGGTCTGTTTAAGCTAGGTCTCATACAAACCAGAGATAATGTTTCTGGTTGATTCTCTCTCCTAAATCTATAGTTAGAGGAGATGAGATGCTGTCAACTATTTTTAAACCATTATTGCCGAAAGGCCCATTTTAGATGCATTAATGAGAATGCTGCTGTTTGGGAGCGTATGTAACACATCACCTTCAGAAAGAAGCATTAAAGAAACTTAATCAGACAAAAATCCGACGGAATAGTGAATTCTCCTAAAGAAGTCATCTTATTTCTCCTTAAAAACTATGCATAGCATATCATCTGAAAGATTCTCATGAGCTGGCCATAGAATGATGAATTATGAGTTGGAAGATAATGACATCCAAAGAATCCTCATTGACGTATTATGTTCAATGTCAATAGTTTAGTGTTAATCCTATGATCAATATATTCCTAATCTTCTCCAGGCAAACGTTGAAGTCAGAGTCAAAGTTTATCTCTAATTTCAAATTTCGACTTTTCCAATGAACTGAATCAGTATTATACAGGCTTCTACAATTCCAGTAGGAAATACAGAAAAGGATAAAACACATCAGAATCACCTGAGCCTTGGCCATTTTCTTTGGTCCTTAGGACACTGCGGGCAACTGGGATGCTCTATGTTTGTCCCATCTGGATCAGCTCCAATTATGTTCACAAATTGCAATCTCTCATGAGGATCTCCCAAAAACAATAATATCCAAATCAAGGCACTTCTTCCTCCTTTCGCTATGCTGCTGGTGATGCACAATCTGCAGGCTGAGGGGAGAATACAATGTGAGTAACATATCCTATAGATCCAGGTGTTGTTACTGTTCTTCCCGCTTCTTACACAAAGTCCCCAATAATGTTAACGTTACCCTTATTGAGTGATGGAGAGCATGCTTATAACTTGAGCCAGGGGTCCTCAAACTTTTAAAACAGGGCCAGTTCACTGTCCCTCAGACCGTTGGAGGGCCAGACTATAGTTTAAAAAAAAACTATGAACAAATTCCTATGCACACTGGATGTCGGCTGCTAAGCAGGATAGGCAGCAGCAGCAAAAACACCCAGCGGGCTGGATAAATGTCCTCGGCGGGCCGCAAGTGGCCCGCGGGCTGTAGTTTGAGGACCCCCGAATGAGCAATAAATCTAAAACTCATAATTTTCAGACATGTGAATATAAGATGACTTTATAACAAATAGAGATTGGGTAATCAAGTATAAATGTCAAAAAGAAGAAACCAAAAAGTTGGATCCCTACCGCACAGCGTACAGAACTACCAATTCCTTACTGTGTGACTCTCAAGGAGAATGACAATTCAATGAACCTTTAGGATGATTATATTAATTAAAGCATCTGGAAACATTTCAAATGGGCTATATAAAAAGCTATTATAAACTAAAGATTATTTTACAGAAGAACTATAAATTGTACAATCACTTTAGAAACACTTTAAAACTCACCATCAAGTAGAATTAGACGTATAAGCTGCAGATAGGACACAGGAGAACTGCTGTACAGAGCTTCCGAGACTCTAAAGCCAGGACAGGAAGCTAATGGGTATGTACCTCTGACCTTGAGGATAGAAGTCCAACTCTTAACACATGTCAAAACCAAGGCTCCATAATAAACACTTATATGATACCAATTAGATTGAAATATATATATACATATATACTTTTTTTAATGAAGAAGTACACATTCCACCAATAGTAAGTGCACTTTGAATACCAATATAGATCAATGTTGTTAATGTAGCATTATTTGTAGAACCTAATGCAGTGAGATCAGTGGTCCTCAACCTGTGGGTCGTGAGCGCTTTGGGGGGGTGGAACGACCATTTCACAGGGGTTGACTGATTCATAACAGTAGTGAAATTGATTATGAAGTAGCAACAAAAATAATTTTATGGTTGGAGGGTCACCACAACATGAGTAACTGTATTAAAGGGTCGTGGCATTAGGAAGGTTGAGAACCACTGAGTTAGACAGTTGGCCTATACAAGTATAAAGTCTTTCTAGCTATGTCCCCTTAACTTCTTCCAAATTATTTACGTGGGTTTGTTGCCCACCAATGTAAATGAGGCAAAGGAGCCCTGGTGGCATAGTGGTTACTATTGGGCTGCTAACTGCAAGGTCAGCAGTTGGAAACCACCAATTTCTCCTCGTGAGAAAGAAAGATGGGGCTTTCTTCTCCCACAAGTGACATGGCTTTCTACTCAGCTACAGAGTTACAGTCTTGGAAAGCCACGAGGGTTTCCTGTCATATAGGCTTGCTATGAGTCAGTGTCAACTTGATGGCATTCAATTTATTTTTTTGGTTTAAGAAGATTGGGCAGCTTGCTCAACAGCAGATTGGTACCTTTGTGGCTTAGGGGTATGCAAATTAGCTGTCTGAGGATTAGTCACATTGGAAATCATGTTAGGACTAATTGAGCCATTTCAGACATAGAAATTGGGATGTCACTACAATCAAAAAAGAAGAGCCGGGAGTAGGGGCCTTTGGCCTAGATTGTTGCATTGAAACTCTTCAATCCAGAAGACAGAGAGCTGTGGCACAAGAGAGGAAGTGGTGGGGAGAAGCAGCAACAGAGACATGATGGCAGTAGAACCAAGAGACTGAGACAGAGCAGTGGGATTCCCAGGCCACAGAACAAGAGACCTAAGTGCCTTTGGGCAGGAGGTGAGAAGGTGAAATGGGGTACATCTGAGTACCTATCTGAGGAACTAAATTTGCTAACCTACATAGAGCTGAGTGTGTTTGGTGTGAGGCTAAGGTGCAGAGTGAGCATTTATCCACAGAACTAAAGACCTTTGTAACATTTGCCCACTTAGGACAGAAGCCAGGGGGTTGCAGGGCCTGGCCTGACCTTACCTGCAAGTATGGCTGTCCCAAAGAACTGTACCTTGAGTCACTGATGATCCTAAATTGTGTGTTAGGGTAGAAAAGTGACCCCTTTGTCAAATATAATTTAAGGAAAACATTTATTAAACTTTAAGAGACAACAAAAGACACATACATATCATATGGATTAGGGAGGCCATTAGCAGTTCAAATTCAACTAAGGATTCACAGTCAGGACCCTGGATAAACAGGGCACAGAACAAAAGGCCATGTCACAGATTACGATTGCTGACAGACTAATACATGACAAATACAGGTGGACTGTAGGAGTAGGAATGGGCCAATAATTGGGACATGCCTATTATTAGATAGAAAGATTTACAAGATTGGTCCAGGGCCTTCAAACTAAGGCAGTCAAGGCCAGACTCATGATAATGGCCCCTGTGCTGTCCTCAGTAAGGTGAGCTCCATCAAGGATACATCTAGGCAGGCCCTTGGAGGGGACTGGCTGGAGAGGAGTGCAGGCAATCTATTTTCTAAGGCATTCTCCCCAAGGGGAAGATGATCTACATTCTTGGTGAATGATCAGAGAGAATTCAATGGAGGCTTAATCAAAGTGGGGACACAGCAAATGGACACTGAGTTGTCACTGTCATCAGCAACCCAAATCTTAAACCCAACTCAGTGTCACCGAGTGGATTCTGATTACAGCGACCCTTTAAAAGAAGGTGGAATGGCCCCTTGTGGATGTCTGAGACTGCAACTCTTTACAAGATTGGAAACCCTGTCTTTCTCACCAGGGGTGACTTGTAATTCTGAACCACTGACCTTGCACTTTGCAGTCCAATCTGTAACCACTATGCCACCAGCCTTTTGCAAATTGGAGTGTTCACAAATTAAGCTCTAATACAATTATAAATGGTTATGTAACCAGTGAATTCTATCATTCAGGGAGATGTGCAAATTGCTTGGACCCTGACCATTGGGGCAGCCTCGGTCCTTGTACACTAGTGATTTCCTGGGTTCAGGACCCAGGAAGCCCAGATCCCTCCTGCTTCCCCTCAAGTTCTTCGGCCCACTGCAGCCCCCAGGAACCCCAGGGATGCTCACCCTGGTTGGGGTCAGGTGAATGGATTTGGTTCACAACCCAGTCAGAAGTTGAAATTCTTCCTTGTGATGCTTCAGTTTGCAAGACAGTAGTAACAGATTTCTAGCTCTCTAGACTGGACAATATTTCTCTGTGGCAAATCTTTGTTCTGAAACAGAAGAGGAGGTAATGTTGAAAAAGGCATATCAGGTTCTTGGCCTATACTTCTTGCACTATATAGTGTCCATCCCCACTACCTGGGATCAAAATCACGCTCCAAGCTGAGGGTGTAAAGAAATGCCTATGGTTGGGTAGCCCATTTATGCACAGTAGAGTGTGGTAACTAGAGAATCTTGTTGTACAGGTGGACAACAAGAGGCAGAGGGACACCAATAGTACATCCGAGATATACCTTGGCCAAGACAGAGATATCCTAAACAAGAAAACAAGCCAGGGGAATCTTTATTTGCTACTCACTTAAGCTCTTGTGTTTACGTATGTCCAATTTTAAAGCCTTTGGGAAAGCCTGCAGCCTACAGTCAAGGAATGGCAAAGGGTAAGTAGAGGGCAGAAGCTTAAAAGCACAAGATGGATCCAGAAAAGAAATGACCGATCAACTATTTTGTCATCTTGGCCTAGATTCTGGATTCCAAGCTTTCTAGGTAATGCTGACTGATGGCAAACAAAACACAGGAGTGGGCTTATTGGCTTGGGTTCAAGGATGTCCCATCCATGTCCCAGTGACTACTTGTCTGTCAAGAGTAGTCATTAAATCATTTATCACTCTACACTGAGGAGTCAGCTACAAGACCAGAGGATCCAGCCAGAGCAAGTGATCTATGAGAGTTGAGTGGGTTTCAGGATGCTCAGAAAGTCTATAATCAACTGAATCAAAATTAAATTCCATGAGAAACTTCAAGGCTAACTGTAAGACAGATTAAAGTTGAAGATTCTGGCAGCTAGACACGAGAGTATTCACACAGCATGAATAAACACTTTGTTTTTTGTCTAAGTTCACATTATTGGGTGAAACAACAATGATTATGAAAGTATACTTACTAACATTTTCTATGAGACTAATAATAACCTGCTAACAAGGTCAGATAATGATACTTCAGGAAAACTGTAGACCAATATTGATAATGGATCTACATGAAAAAGTTCTTGAAAATATTGGGAATTGAGTCAGAAACACATTAAAATAATCACATATGATGATTAATTGGAATCTATCCTAGAGTTGATTTAACATAAGAAAATAAGCACTGTAATATAACAATTAATGTAAAAAAAGAATTAATAATCTAGACACATAAAACATACTAAACAAAGTCAAAGGTTTTTAATGCTAAGAAAAACACCTCTACACATCTAACATAAAACAGGTATAGTTCAATGTTAATATACTAATATACATTCCTAAAAAGAAACCGTCAAAATGTCATAGTTGAAAAAACATCACCCCACGTCAGAAAAAGGACAAACATAAATTTCCATTTTTACTAGTGATATTAAAAATTGACTGATATTCTAACTAAAGCAATCGGATTAACATTTTTTAAGGAAGAAGAGGCTTCCAAAAAGAAATAAAAATTTCTCTAATCATAATTTAATCATCATATCCATAAAATATTCATGATATGCCATAAATAGCTAATAAATATTAAAACGTAGGCTACATTTCAACACGCTGAAATAACTCTTTGTACTTAACTCACTAACTATTAATTGCTAATCAGGAGGGTAAGAGGATGGTGGGGGTAGAAAGAGGGAACCTATCACAATGATCTACATATAACCCTCTCCCAGGGGGATGGACAACAGAAAAGTGGGTGAAGGAAGACCTTGGTCAGTGTAAGACGTGAAAAAATAAAAATTTACAAATTATCAAGGGTTCATGAGGGAGGGAGGGAATAAAAATGAAAAGCTGATATGAAGGGCTCAAGTAGAAAGAAATGTTTTGAGAATGATGATGCCAACAAATGTACAAATGTGCTTGACACAATGGATGGATGTGTGGATGTGATAAGAGTTGTACAAGTCCCCAATAAAATGATTTAATAAGAAAAAAGTAAAAAGAAAATACAGCATGATCAAAATTACAGCATTTATCTTACAGAAAAGGAAGTGCAAAATTATTCAGATTAGAACCCTGAAACAGGGAATTTGTTTCTACCCATTCTGTGATGAAAGTCATGGATTTAGAATCCTGTAGTTTTCTGCAGTGTTGAAGGTCCTTATATACTGATGAATTAATGAACTAAAACAAGGAATTTCTGTGCACATATATTGGAGTGACTACATAGTTACATATATAGACACACATACATGTATATGATACACACACATGAATTAAGCTGGACAGCAGAAAGGATTGATGTTCACCCAAAAACTGAAGTTTGGGGACTTGAACACACTGAGCCATGTATGCTCCAGCTAGCATTGGACCCATGGGCTTCAGTTGGACTGGGCTGGGATGTTCTTTTGATAAAAAGCCCTTTCCTATGCATATGTAAGTGTCTATAGTTTTAATTTTCTAGACAACCCAGCCTAAGGCAGATCCCTATCACATTAGTGTCATGAGGGTGAAAAGGTGTATCTGACATGCTGGCACCTCACAAGGAAAGTCTGAAAAGGTAATCAACAATTCCCTGACACCGAGCCAATCAATCCTATGTTCCTCTAGGTCTGTGGATTTTGAGTGGGTGAAAATCTATTTATAATAAAAGTATCTGAGGGGCCAGCCCCAATCCCAACTACAAGGACAGCTGCCCCTCCCCCCATACGAATTTACTTCAGAGGACAACACTGAAGCTACAGCTCAGGGAAAGGTACATGTCTAATCAGAGCACATGAAGGGGAGGGAAGAGAGAGTGAAGCACACCCTGGCCCACCAAGCCTTGAGGATGATATCTCCACTCAGAGCAGCCAATGCAAAGAGAGGAACTATAGCTGGCCACACTATAAGACATGATATCCCTCACTGACCAATAGCCCTACAGGGGACAGCACTGGAGACACAGTGTGGGAATTGAACCAGATCTGACCCCAACATACCGAGGCAAAACACTAAGGGTGTGCAACAGAACAGCAAGGGGAGCAGAGCAAGGAAGTCCCAAGGGAGTACCAAAAATAGACTGGGGCCAGGCCTTGGCACCCCATCAGATTCCACTGGAAAATACTCCTAAAAGTCAACAAACACACCTTGGACTTTTTACAGTCTTTTTTTTTGTCATTGATATTTTTGTTGTTGTTTTGTTTTCTTTTGTCACTTTGTTTTGCTGTCTTTGTGTGTGTGTGTGTGTGTGTGTGTGTGTGTGTATGTGCATATTATCTCTGCAGGTCTATCTAGATAAGATAGGCTGGATAAATAATCTGGAGGAGAAAACAATGGGACCCATGGTTTGGGGGGTGGGGGACATGGTGAGGGGGAGAGGGGGGGAAGGAAGTGCTGTTAACCAACCCAGGGACAAGGGAATAATAAGCGATCCAAAATTGTGGGAAACAGAAAGATTTTTCCCAAGTCGTCTCCCCAAATATATATTAGACTTAGGACACTGTTCACAATTAATGATAAATGATTGTCCAGTTACCTCCCTGAAGGCAATCGGTTACCAGACTATTGTCTGGTCCCACCACAAATAGGGCCCACTCCCTGCTGTTAAGGACAATGGGCTACTCCTCCCTAAAGGCTTCAGTTTGGTCCCTGCAAGGGTGGGTTTATACCCTACTGATAACAGTTTCTAAAGTGAGCCAGAGAACAGGTCAAACCTGCTCAGTGACATCCAAAGTTAGGCCACCATCATGAATCTCGGGTCCGCCCATCTTGTCACATGTATATCATTACTCCCTCCTCTTCCAATAGCATATGAACTCCTAGATCACCCCACTGCTATTACTGTATTACCCATAGCACAACCCTTTCCTGTGATGTATGTCTTCACCTATAATTAGGGGGTTTGCACGTCTGCAGAGAATATAAAGGACTTGGTTAGCAATAAATATCTTTCTATCCACGTGGACCACCAAGTGAGGCTGAGGTGAGCATGCTACCATGAAATGTGCCTGACTCCATTATTTCAATCTCTCTTCTATCTCTCATGCTCTCTATGACTTTACTATAATCTTTATTTATTGTCACTGAAAATTGCACCTACTGGACCCGTGATGATGTCCCAGGGGCTGGCCTTTCCCCTAACACAAAATCAGTGGCAAGGAGGGTATAGGATGCCTGGTAGGGATTGATGAAGGGCAATGTAACTGACAGGAATTACTGAAACCCAAATGAAGACTGAGCATGATAGTGGGATAAGAGGAAAGTCAAAGAAAATAGAGGAAAGAACTAGGAGGCAAAGGACATGTATAGAGGTCTAAATACAGGCATGTACATATGTAAATATATTTGTATGCGATGATGGGGAAATAGATCTATGTGCATATGTTTATAAGTATTAAGGTATCAGATGGACATTGGGCTTCCACTCAAGTGTTTCCTAAATGCAAGAACACTTTGTTGTATTAAACTTGTCATTCCATGATGTTCACCTTCCCAACATGATCGCTGAAGACAAATGGGTGCATAAGCAAATGTGGTGAAGAAAGCTGATGGTG